ATAGTTCAGGCTTCTCAAAGAAATTCCAGGCCAATACAGACAGCTCCTCTGTTAGAAAGTCACACAGAACTGCAGTCTAGGAGCTTGGAGGAAGAGGTTACAGCACAAGGGAAGACAAAAAAAAAGCCGACACCCTATTAAGGATTCTAACCAACCACTGAGCATTGGCTACTCCCTCCCCATTTCATCCATCCACTTAAAAGATCCTGAGCAGCGCATGATAGCTAGTGATATTTGTGTCCACTGCCAACGTGACAGCCTTTCAGTAATGGGGGGAAGGGTCTCAAACTTTAACCCTTCTTAAAATTTACCTTCTTTCCAATATTCAAATGCTTGCCACTTAAAATACATATCCTTCAAAAACAGAAGCCACCCCTCCTGCCACATCTCCCCAAGAATTTGCCACAAGACCGAAAGTAAAATAAAAATAAAGTTCTTATGAGGCGCAATTAAGGTATTCATATTCGACCTCTATTTGGGGATTTCTGAACAAAACACTTCAGCAATAAGACATGTTCACATAAGTCCCACATAACTTTCAGCCTACAGTAGATAAGATAACAAACTTCAACGTATTATTCCCTTACCCATTTTTAATTCTTTCCTTACGCTCCTTTCCCAAAATGCATATCTAAATAAATATATTTAGATTTTTCACCCCACCATGAAAAAAGGTCTGCTTTAAGGTACTTTCAGTAACCCTCAAAAGGATTCCATCTAGTGTGACTGTGCAACAAGCAAGCAGCCATCATGCCCGCCATGGAATCTCTGCAGCTAAATTATTCACCTGCGGGTTACAAACCCAAGTGATAGAACAGACGTGAACTTTTTAATGAGAAAATGCACTGTCAGTTCAAAGACCAAATTAAAGAAACTTCAATTCTAAAATAAAGATCTAAAGTATCTCATAAGACAATTTAAAATTTTAACAAGCGTTAATAAGTCTTACTGTTAAAACGTTCTTTTAGCCTAAATTAAGTGTTCCAAATAATTTCAAAACAAAAAACAAGAGTCAACTCAAAATCACAATTACAAAAAAAAAAAAAAAAAAACAGAGAGCCAGAGCTCACAATATAACTTCCCAAGCTCTAGAAAGCTTTCCACATGAGAAATAAAAAAACAAAAACAGGTAATGGAAATGAAGTTTCACTATTTATAAATACTGTACATGGTTTAAAAGATCCCGGGTTTTCCAAAAAGTCTCTGCTTCCACTTTGTGTGTAACCTTATGACAGTTCTAACCAATATTTACACAAGAGTAAATTTAACATACCATTCCTACAAATACAAAATGCATATTCCACAAATATAACCAGTGTTTAAGGAACTAGAAGTTTCTGAACGCTTCAACAGCTTTCCAACTATTTTGTCCCATGCAAATGACTTTCAAATTCTCAGGCAGGCCCCAGGAAGTAAAGCACAAGAAACTATATTTAATTAGAGATTCAGTCTAATTCCCAGTAGTAAATCACAGGAAATATCTGGTTCCAAAGCAGCCTATTCTCAGTCCTAAAACAGTTAAAGTTTTGGTTGATTTGCATTTTACAACTGAATTTTTTTTTAACCTAAAAGTCATAGTAAAATTTCTCCTTTTTATGGCTCTTTAAAACAGGACAGTCTTTCAGATCCGAGAGTGAAACTTGGTTTTAACAAGTAACTCTTTTTTATGAAAACTGCAACCAGAAGACTAGTTATGAGTTAGAAACACTTCAGGTTGTTTCTTCTCTTCTTAAAATACCCTTTTACTCAAAGTGAAAATGCACTTGCTGTAATCTTACATGCACCAACTGACTCTGATTACACCTGAAACATTTACTTGCTTGAGAATGGCAACCTGCTCCCTCCCAAAACTCCACTAGGTTTCCACTGGGAGCTGCCACTGGGCATCCAATTCTGGACAATCCTTACTAACATTTAATAGATCTTCTAGCTCAAGGAAGTAAAAAAAATTTTTAAATGCAAAATTATAATTGCATTTGGAAAAAAAATGGAACAAGAAAATAACCTAATAAAAATGACTGGGGAAAGGGGTGGCCTTAGAATTTATTTTTCAGAAAAGCACTAAATCTTAAACTTTAGGTTATATTCCTAGTTCAAGAATACTCTGATTTAAGGCCATTTAAGACGCAAAACTAAAAATAATCCCCAAACTTTGCTTTTCCCTATGTTTAAAGAAAGGCACTCCAGCAAGCTGAAGTAGGTTGTATCCACTTCCAAGAACGTTTATTAAAAAGACGGTGTAAGTACACACTGTACTTCGAATACCAAAAAAAAAAAAAAAAAACCTTTTTAAACAGCAAATGCTTTATAACAGTTCAAGTAGGAACGATAAGTGTACAAGTAAGTCAAATACTTAAATTCAAATGTAAAATTAGATTTGGCATACAACCCTGATTTTATGACTTAAATATATCGATCTTAAGGTAAGGAGGCACTTTACCTTTTTGAAACACTTGGTAAAGTTGTATGTAATGCCTGGTAATGAGGTTATAAGTGATGCCTTTACTCTAAAATACACTTTGGAAAAAATAAGATCCTGGGTCCTTCTCCGGGAACTTCAGTATGACGCGATTAACTTCACCTTTTTAACACATTAACCACAGGGATGACAGTATGTAAAGCAACCTTGGTATAACAATTGCGCAGCAAAGAAAAATCATTATTATGCTGCACAGTCCGGATGAGGGGTGAGGAAGGAGTTTAGCGCAACTAGAGAAACTTCATATTGATCCTTCCACCTGTGACAGTGAGAAACTGTCAGCTTATGGAAGCCGCAGGGCGAATGGACTCCCGGTAAGCCTCCCCAGAGCCCATCCTCCTCAGGAAAGAGAGCAAGCGCGCAATTCCAAAGGGGTCCAACCCCAAGACCTTGGGGCAGGGATGGGCCTGCCCCGACCTGAGGGTCTGTCTTTCTCTAAGAGGCAAAAACAGCCAAGGCACCTGATCTACAGTCCTCCATCGAGGCAGGAGGTCCCTGCCGGTTTTCTTGATTTGAACCTCCAATCCAACTCCCCCAAAACACTAGTCACAAAGCCCCCGGCCTTGCTCCTCGGATCTGTTGGTATCTCCGTGCTCGATAACACTGAAGTGGCAAAGCAAGAAAATACACACGTCCCCAACCCTGGCCATCCAGAGGAGCCTCTCCGTGCCTAATTAAAGGCCTCGAACCTCGGGCGAGGCCAAATTTGGGGCACTTCCTTGCGCCGAGAAGTACAGCCCTCAGCTCGGCAGCCGGGCCCGGAGGCGCGCAAGGCCAGGACGCGCTGGCCCTTTAAAGGCGCCGGCTTCCTGCGCCCGCGGCCCCTCCCTCGCGGTCGCCAGCTCCCGCCCCTGCTGAGGGTCACACTTGAACTTTAGGTTGCCGGCGCGATCGGGCGCCGGCGCTCCGCAGGCGGTGGCCGCCCCTTCGCACGTGTCTGATGCTCTACACGGGGCTGCGCGCTCCCGGCCCCTTGCACTCGAAGCCACTACGGATAAACTCAAAACAAAACAAAATGCACACCGGTTTCCAAAACCTGCGCGGCCAGACCCC